TATTTGCAATGAATAAGTCATTGGTCTTACAAAATTTTATCATGCAACCTTCAACATTGTTTCTATCAAGGCCATATTTTCCAAACACTGATCCTTCTTCTTTGTTTTCAACTTTCACATTCCAATCACCAGTAATCATCAATTCATCTTGAGTGCATGTTTAATCAACTTCAGACTGAAGAAGTTGGCAGAAATCCTCCATTTCATCACCATTGGTTTCAGAGATTGCTGTGTAAATTTAAATAATAGTGGTCTTCCTTGTTGTTGAATGTTGTTAAGTGCTGTTGAGTTGGTTCTGACTCACAGTGATTCTTATAGGGTTTCTGAGGCTGTAAATCTTTGTGGGATCAGAAAGTCTCATCTTTCTCCAGAGGAGGAGCAGCTACTAGACTCAAATTGATGACCTTGTGGTTGTACTACAAAGCCACCACACTTCCATGTAGACATATTACAGGCAGCATTGCACTTCAAGATAGAACTTGAAATGCTCTTTGGACAATGAATGCTATGCCATTCCTCTTCAATCTGGCATTCCCAGTCTAGTAAACCATGATTTTCCTATTCAAAATGATCCATCTTGCTGATGTGAGTGGGCTGTATGCTCCTTTAATGGGCTAACCAAGCATGCCACTGCCTGACCTCCAGTTCAGCAGGATATCAGTCTTTATGCATTCTATTTCATTTTTGGCAAGTTCTAATTCTCCTAGATTCATGCTTCATGCATTCCATGTTCCAAATATTAGTAGATGCTTGCAGCTATTTCTTCTCATTTTGAGTCTACCCAACAGCAAATGAAGACCCCAAAAGTTTTGCTCCAACCAGGTCATTAAAGTCAACTCTACTTTGAGGATATAACTCTTGTTCAATCATATTTTGAGTGCCTTCCAACCTAAGGGGCTCATCTTCTGGCACTGTATCAAACAATCTTCTACTGTCATTCATATGGTTTCCAGTGCCTAGTTACTCAGAAGTGGTCTGTCTCTCCTTCTTCTTAGTCTGTCTTAGTCTGGAAGCTCCAATGAAGCCTCTCCACCATGGGCGACCCTGATGACATTTAAAATACCAGTGGCATAGCTTCCAGCATCACAGCACCATACAAGCTACCACAATACAACAAATTAACAGATGAGAGGTACTATACCACATCACCATAAATTATATCAACTACTACTTCTCCTTCCAGGGTTCTCTCTCAGATCCCAGAATTACAAAATTGAACACTTAACAGAATTCTAAACAGAATTCACAGGTCACTAAGGAAATGACTCACACACCAAGGTGGCAAGTCCCAAATCTGCAATTCAGACATCATTAGAAGGGTTCTCCTCACTCACAGAGAATCGGGTTACTGACAAGGCTGTAGAAACTGGTAAATGAGCTCAGGCTGCTGGATTGTAGCTCAAGAACTGGAGGCCAGCCACAGGCAAGCTTGATTAGTCAAGCAAAGGAGCACACAGCCCACTCACATCACCAAGATGGCTCATTTTACACCCAAAAGGATGGCAAATTTGACCAAGCACTTCATTACATTTATGAGTTTTTACAATCATAATTTACCCTGTTAAATAATCACTCACAACTGATTCATATAAACTTATCAGCATCATCCCCCCACCTTCTCTTACCCAGACACATCAGAAAAAAATGATTGGTAAGAGTTACAAAGACATGGCTGCTGCTTGGTGCCATTGAGTTTGTTTCGACTCATAGACACACTATATAGGGTTTCTAAAGCTGTAAATCTTGAAAAGAACAGAAAGCCTCATCTTTCTCCCACTGAATGGCTGGTGGATTCCAACTGCTGACTTTGCTTGCAGTTAGCAGTCCAATGCATAACTCACTACACTACCAGGGAGCCTTAAAGACATGACTAGAAGAGACATTAAATAATTCACTGCACTGTAGACAGTAAAGAATGAATGCTATCATTTTACTATTCTATGTTAAGAACCAACCTGATGACAACATCGTAACAGAAATTAAAAAGTGAAGATTAAATAACATGATTGTGTCTACTGAATAATAATGTGAACCCCAGTAGAATTACAAATGTTAATTAATATTGAAATAAAATGTGTTAAAAAAAAAAAAAAGTAAAAATTTTTCATTTTCTTTTCCCTTGGATTTTAGATATTGAAATGCCAACAGCAGAAAATCTTCTCAATACCTGTAAGTACATCAAAAAATAGTTATTTTTTAATGAAACTTGAAAATCAATGTGGTGGTCATTAATTGTAATGGAAATCCTGCTAAAAGAAACTTTTTGGAAGTAACTATAGTTGCCCTAATTTAACTGATGTCATGGACATAAAGTGAACAAATTATCATGGCAACTCAAACCCATCAGCCACTCCTAGGTAACCCTATACAGCGTCTCTATCAGTCAGAACCAACTTTGAATCTAAAATCAGCTATACATGAGTTTTTGGTACTAGATCTGTCATTTACTACTGAATGGATTTACACAACTTATTTAAATTCTCAAAGCCTAAATCCAAGTTGGAGTCCTGGTGTGGCACTGTGGGTTAATGTGCTGGACTGCAAAATCAGATTAAACTACCAGGTCAGCGGTTGAAGTTCACCAGCCACTCTTTGGAAACCCTCTACAGGGTCGCTGTGGGTTGGAACCAACTTGGTGGAACTTAACAACAAGAAGTTCCAAGTTGTTGTGAAGATAAAATAAAGTAACACAAGTAAATGCATCCAAGAATCTGTAACTGAGAATAAGTATGTGAGCTATTTGTGTATCTTCTGTTTTACTTATTAAAATGTCAGATTAAGGAACTCACTGTGGAACTGTGAACCTAAAATCCAAATGTAATGTGTTGAGAAGTAAACTGTCTTACATACACGCAGCTTCCTTGCTGGCCAAGGCATTCAGTTTCCATTCTCCAAATTCAAGCTGAGGGAAAATAGATCCCCAGTTGCTGGAACATGAGGTAGGAGCAGACTGTCAGGAGTGCTCCTCTTTTCTGGAGAAAGAGACTAAACTGGTCAGCTGGTTAAAAGAGTCACCCTCCAGATCCAAGTGACACTGATCCAACAGCTCTCCTGTCTTTCAGTCACAAGCATCACTATTTCTGAACAACATGGGCAAAACTTAAGTACAAAGTTGTATTGGGTTATTTTTTCATTGATATGTTTTGATTAGGTAAAGCTAAAAAGAAAAAGAAAAAACTGATAAAATATGTCAAAAATCAATTCTTCCATTTTTTAAAAAAACAAAACAAAAACCTTTAGTACCAAGACAATCAAAATCCACATTTGGGAATTTTCCAGATAAGTACAAGAAAGGTAGTCAAAACATAGATAAAATCTGTAATAAGAATGAGTTCAGTCCATCTGTCTATCCCTCCTCTGAATTTGAATTTACCTATTTGGGACTTAGATCATTCTTTAAATAAAAGTGGGAGAGGCAGTGAAAAGAAATCTCTTAGAGTTGAAAAGAAGAGTTTTTAGTATGTGACATAAACTTCTTTCTACCACGGAACAGCTGGTAGTTTTGAACTGCTGACCTTGCGGTTCACAGCCCAATTCATAACCACTAAGCTACCAGAGCTCCTTAAAGTGTATTAAAATGTCATAATATGCAATAGAGTGAAACAGGGAAGCTGTGGATAAATTCTCTGGGGTTAGAGTGAAACAGGGGTTTTTCAAAGTCCTGTTATGTTCTTTACAGCCTTGACATTGACCCTATAACCTCTTTTGACACAACAAAAGCTAAACAGTGCCCTATCAGAGGTAATAACAAGGTAATACTACAGAGGTGGTGACTGAAAACAGACACAAGACTGACTAAATGAAAACTTAAAATAGATGATCATATATAAATATGAATTAGATTAGATTTCTGAGTAAGAGCTGAAACAAGGAAATGGAGTCTCCTGGGTGAGGTTCTCCTAGCCCACAAAGAGGCATCTTGTTTCTACAGTCTTCAGAAGGAAGTTGAATAAAAGCCAGCGCCCTTTAGGAGTTGGGCAAACAAAAAAGGGAGGATAGGGTGGAACCACTGTGACTCTGCGTTCTGGATTATGTGTTTTATCCTCCTAGCGTCCATGATAAGGGAGTGGGAAGAAAGGTGGGGAGGGGGGGGAAGGATTTGCATTCTGTGAGTCAGTAAGAGAGCCCTCGCCCTCAGAAATCGCAACTACCAAAGCTCTACTTCTGCAAAATAATTATTATGAATGTTGTTGTTGTTGTTAAGTGCCATTGAGTCCGCTCCGACTCATAGCAACCCTGTATAGGGTTTTTGAAGAGTGAGATTTAACCACCGACCTTGCGGTTCAAAGCAACCTTGCACTCCAGAGCATTGTTGTTGTTAAGTACTGTTGAGTCGATTCCGACCCACAGCGACCCTGTATAGGGTTCAGGGTTTCCAAGGAGCAGCTGGTGAGCTTGAACCGCCAAACTTGCAGTTCAAACGACTTTGCAGTCTGGCGCATTAACCCACAGCGCCACACCAGGACTCCAAAGTATATCTGTTGTTGTTGTTATGTGCCGTGGAGTCAGTTCCAACTCATATCGACCCTGTACAGGGTTTCCGAGGCTGTAAATCTTTACTGGAGCAGAAAGCCTCATCTTTCTCCCGCGGAACCGCTGATAGTTTCAAACTGCTGACCCTGAGGTTTGCAGCTCAATTTGTAACCACTGCACTACCAGAGCTCCTTATATCTAGTCACATATAATTAATGACAATTCAGTAAAGCAATTGACCACCTTAGCTTTCCAATTATTCAAATGTTATTTTCCTGATCCTATACCTATCTGGGATTTCTCAACCTTAAGACTATTGACATTTGTTGTTGCTGTTGCTAAGTGCCATCGAGTCATTTCTGACTCATAGTTACCCTGTATAAGGTTTCTAAGGAGCAATTGGTGGGTTTGAACTGCCGACCCTGTGCTTGGCAGCCCAGTGCTTATCCTTCAGTGCCACATTTGGAGGCAGACTATTGTTTGTTGGGAGGGGGATGTTCATTCTATACATTGCAGGATGTTTAACAGCATACCTGGCCTCTATCCACTAGATACCAGTAGCATCCCCATTGGTAGATCGACCAAAAATATGTATATATATATCTCCAGATATTTCCAAGTGTCCCTAAGAATCATGGGTTATACTATATAGATTTTATTTCTATAAACATTTGTTGGGAGTGTGGTGACTCCATGGAGACACCAGCCACTCTGCAAGAAAAGAAACTTTCTACTCCCATGAAGACAAAGCCTCAGCTTCTTTATGAGTCGAAACTGAATCGACAGTACTTAACAATAACAACAGGCATTTATTTGTAGAGCACCTTCCATGTAATAGGTTCTCTGTCATAAATTCCGTAGACACATTTTAAAAACAAAAATAGTATTTCTGTTCTCTAAATACATTTATTGGAGTCCTAGAGCTCTGGTAGCATAGTGGTCACTAATTGGGCTGCTAATCTCACGGTCAGCAGTTCAAAACTACCAGCCGCTCCGCGGGAGAAAGATGCGGCTTTCTGCTCCAGTAAAGATTTACAGCCTCAGAAACCCTGTACAGGGTCGCTATGAGTCAAAACCGACTCCATAGCACATAACAACAACAACAACGGTGGCGCTGTAGGGTAAGCACTGGATCACAAGGTCAGTTTGTGCCACAAGGTTGGCGGTTCACACTCTCCAGTCGCTCCTCAGAAACCCTGTACAAGCATGCTATGAGTCAGAACCAACTTGACAGCACTTAACAACAAAAATATATATATTTATTAATGATGATACTTTGTTGCTGTTTTTAGGTGCCATCGAATCGGTGCCAACTCATAGCAACCTTATGCACAGCAGAACGAAACATTGCCCAATCCTTGGCCAACCTCACTATTGTTGCCACTTGAGCCCATTGATGCTGCCATATCTAGTAAAATACATATGTCACAACTATTAAGGATAAAGGAGTCCTGGTGTGGTGCTGTGGGTTAATGCACTGGACCGCAAAGTCATCTTGAACCGCAAAGTTGGAAGTTCAAGCTCACCAGTTGCTCCTTGGAAACCCTATACAGGGTCACTATGGGTCGGAATCAACTATGTGGCACTTAACAACAACATTAAGGATAAAGCTTTGTTTTAGTTGGGTAAAGATGAAACAGTGAAGAGAATAAGACAGAGACAGAAAATAATGATGAAGTTTTACCATTACTGAAGATTTGTTTCTAAGACTTAAAAGTCCAGCCATTTCTCTGACTTTGTTGTTGTTGTTATGTGCCATGGAGTCGGTTCCAACTCATAGCGACCCTGTACAGGGTTCCTGAGGTTGTAAATCTTTACGGGAACAGAAAGCCTCATCTTTTTCCCGTGGAACAGCTGGTGGTTTCGAACTGCTAATCCTGACATTAACAGCCCGATTGGTAACCGCTACACTACCAGAGCTCCTTAACAGCTATTAATCATAGTACTGATTCAAAGACGCATAAAACTTTGGAAAATGGTTATCTTTATGTAGCATTCCTTTTATCCAAGTACTGCATATTTTGACTTTGAGTTTGAACACATGTCTGTCTACTAGGTCTCCTTACTAATATTTCATTTACATGTTCTTATTAATGTTTCCATAGCAATCATTGCTCTTCAATAACTACTTTGTTAACTTAAAAATATGCCTGTGTAATTTAGTAATCTTTTACACATTTGATGTCTTCCAAATTCACACATTTAATTCCATCTACCTCTTGCATCTGGAGTCCTGGTGTGGCGCTGTGTGTTAATGCGTCAGACAGCAAAGCCATTTGAACTGTAAGGCCAGCAGTTCAAGCTCACCAGCTGCTCCTTGGAAACAACAGCATTGAAAAGGGTCCCTCTGCTGCCATAAAGATTTACAGCTTCGGAAACCCTGTTACAGAGTCGCTATGAGTCGGAACTGACTCCACAGCACATAACAACAACAAATGGGTCAGAACAGACTCAATGGCACTTAAAAACAACAACAACCTCTTACATCTGACCATGGAGAAAAGTACACATATTTGTTTATTACTGAAACACATGCATAAGCAATATCAATGTTAATGAACCTCTGTTTTGAGCAGGTTGTGGACAACGCACTGTAACTCACTCTGGCAACAAAATAGCAGGGGGTATGGATGCTGAGGAAGGAGAATGGCCCTGGCAAGCTAGCCTTCAAGAGGGCAAGATCCACCGATGTGGAGCCACTCTGATTAGTAACAGCTGGCTAGTCACTGCTGCTCACTGTTTTGTACGGTAAGTTCTCGCCTTCAAAGTCACTCAAATCCCTAAAAGTGTGATACATATGTTTCATCCACCCCTCCAGCTGTTCAACACTGTGAGCTGTAGCCTCAAAATCACTCAATAAATTATCAGTAAAACAGCAGATGTAATCAAACTAAATCAATATTTCTCAACCTCTGTTACGACTTGGGGGTAGTGAGGCCATCAAGTACAGTGGCAATCCCTCAGTTGAAAATCAATTTTAAAGAAACTAGAAATATCACATAGAACATAACTACTCTATTATATTCTCATTATTATTATATTTGGTTTAGTGAATTTACTCATCAAGTACTTTATTTCATCCTGCACCCTCCTGTGTATGTAATAGTCCTATTTGAAGTGATGATGATTTCTTTAAATTATTTGTTATTGCGCAAAAGATTTGCCTTATTTTTTTTTTTGCACCTAAGGTTTTTAACCTTTTGTTTGATGATTCTTTCCATTAACTTCTATTGGTTTTATATAGCACTTAATGTTTTCTCTTGTTTTAAATAAGAGTCCTTCTAAAACTTCTAAAACTTTTTCAGCTTCCCCTTTAAACTAACACTTGCTGATTGTGTCACTTTAGTAGAAAAATTTGTAAATGTTTCTGTAACACTATTTTTCAGCACCTTTATACATATACTTAAAAGGAGCTCTGGTCGCGTAGTGGTTATGAATTGGGCTGCAAACCACAAGGTCAGCAGTTCAAAACTACTAGCCATTCCGCTGGAGAAAGATGAGGCTTTCTGCTCCTGTAAAGATTTACAGGAAATCCTGTACAGGGTTGCTATGAGTTGGAACCGACTCCACGGCACATAACAACAACATACATATAC